TTTTTATTTAATGTATTTCTCGATATATAAAAATTATTAAAGACAACGTCCAACTCTTTGTATTGTAACATCAGTTGTATAACTCTATAATCCACCAGATAATTCAGAGGTTATATGTTCGGTGGGTTTTACTCCAGGAGCTGCGAGGCTTTCAAGCTACGTTCAGACCGAGCTCTGCCTCTGTTTACTGAACCAGCAGCTGCTGATGTCATTACACTTTTGTGTGATGCTGCGTTCAGGACAAGCATGGAAAACTCACCACTCTTATGCCAATACGGTCACAATGATGCATTTAGGTACCGAAATGGAATTGCATGAACATTCACGTGGTGGTTATGTAATACAGCGAATCGATAATAAAAAATCTGCGTCGACAAATTTACATAATCGACGTCATCGATTATTTCAACTAATCGGTGCAGCCCTATGGCAGATAAGCACTTCTTATCAGAGGAAGGCCATTAAAAGCTAAACTGTCAAAGACTGCATTATATAATATTAGAATGTTTTTCAATCTAATGCTTCACATCATGCTTTTTCCATCTTCCAAATGTATTAAAAACCATCTCTGTAGCACTTCCAGACATTTTTTTAGAGCTACTTTGTAGCATCATTTCTCTGGAATGCATGGGAAACACATCACTCATTGATCTGCACTTCCAGTGAGTTAAACACTGAAGAGCAGAACTTCTTCGTAAAAATGTAGAATAGACTTTTAGTGTGAGAAAATTCAAGATTCAGGAGGTTTTATTGTCATTTCACCTATATACAGAGTACATAGTGAGACGAGATTGTGTTCCTCCTTGGCCCATTGTGCAGCACAAAATATAAAAAAACAAACAAGACAATAGGCAGCAATAAAACATAACAGTAAAACATTTACTAAATAACATGAGCTCTGACTGTGTGCAATTATAAACAGATTTGAGTTATGGATAAATAATGACTTTTATTAGTATGTTTTAACAGTGCTTTAAAAAGATCTCAGTGAGTAGTATGAGTCAGAGACTTGGTCCAGTGCCTGATTGGTAGGTGGCAGATTGGGAGTCAGCCCAACCCTCCTTTTCTACTGCTTTTCTTTGCCTGCACTGTCTGGATGTTTCAATGTTGATTAGATTTATGCCAACATCTTAGAATCCAGCTGGAATATTCCTCTGCTTTCTTGATTTGATGCCACAGATTCTAAGATTCAGAATACAACTGTTATTGGATAAAACATATATATGGGAGTAAGTTAACATCTATGTATGGCTCATTTTTCATGAGGCACTAGTTTCTTTTGTTGTGCTATGCATATTTTTAAGTATTTAAGGTAGAAACAAGACATTTCTTATGCTATAGGGTTAGAGTATCACAGCTAAAGTCAAACAATCTATAGTTATATASTCATTAACACTAGCTGCATTTCCATTGCAAATGTGTGCAAAACTTTGTTGATATTCTGTTAATGTCGAAAAACACAGTTTCGCAACTGCGGTGTTTCCATTAAGTAAGAAATGCTATTAAAGTCACGCATGAATACGTTGTTCTTGCAATAAGTCATTACAAACATGGCGGCAATGGATGTAAACACATGCATAATTGCTACCATGGCACTAGCGCTCACCATCAGAGGAGYCGTCGGCGTCTTATAGAGGCTTTCGAGCGACAAGCCACTTATACCTGGGAGTGCCTGCGTAAGCTGTGTTTTTGGGAAATGGTAGTTGGTGAGATTACTACTTTCTTTTACAACTTCGTGATGCGAAAAAAGTGTTTCCATTGCAGTTTTGCAAAATACACCAATTTTGATACGGCCGGAAAACCACCTCATCCTAGCGCAAAAACATTGTCGAAAAAAGGAAGGAAAGTTTTTTCGAATTAGACGTGTTTCCATTAAGCAAATTTATTTTCGAAATTCTAATTTGCGCATTTTCATGGTCAATGGAAATGCAGCTACAGACTTTTAAACCAGGATGCCAGATGTTTTAAATGTCTTCAGACATACAAAATGATGAAATCAAGCACATTAAGCTCTATTTCTGTGTAGCATGTGAAAAATGTAACACAATTTTAAAGACTGAGCCAAAGATTAGTTGAGATCCTTTTATTTTTCAATAATTCTGGGTGATATATATCCCAGCAGGAAATGTAAAGGCTGAGTATTATCTATAAAACTGGATCGTATGTATTTGGGCAAAGCTTGGTTCTAAGAGTAGAAGTATTGCAACACTTTTGCAGGTGACCTTTGCGTTGTTGAGAAAGTTCATTTCTGTGCAGCTGCAGTAAAGTTGGCACTGAATGAATGAAAGGCTGGTAGGCAAACGGTTTCTTATAATAGATTTCACAACCTCAATGGAGGACAGGAGCATTTATGTCTGTGAGAGAGATTATGTGTGAATGACCTCTCTTAATTAAGTTACATTGACATTTAAAAAAAAGGAAACAAAAGTAGCCGAATTGTTTCAGTGCATGTGTAACGATTGAATGCTCCTTTTCTTTATATTTGTGCGTTCCATTTGTGTGTTTACACGTTCATTTTTTTAACCTTACTTTGACGCCAGGTCATCAGCCGCGAGCCCACTTTGGCCGTCTGAGTCACTGTGTGCCCCCTCGTCGTCGTCATCCCCTACCATCCTGGAATATTAACATGACACAAAAACAAATCCTTAATGATTTGAGCTCACCTACTAAAACCACTGATACAAAATTAGAAAATAAAATTTGACTTGTTTAAATGCAAAACTGATAAAAACTTGAACCATACACCAAAGTTACTGCCAATTTAAACTGCTGTACGAGTACGTGAGGTGATGAATATTTCATCTGAAGCTTTTCACCTGTTATAAGGAGTGTTGGGTTCGTCGATCTTCATCAGGCCGTAATCTTTGTCGGCTGGATGGTATGTTGCCAGGATGTTCATCTCATCCCATTTTGCGGATTTCTTTCTGTAAAGGTAGAAGAAGAATGATAAGAAAATGAGGGATAGTCACAGAGTGAACCACTGCACACCAGCTATTAATCCACCTCAGGGGAAGAGAGCGACCAGCTATAATCTGCTGCAGAATGTGCCCCAGTTTTCACTCCAACTYCATTATTTTAGGAACAGCTGAACAAAAGACCAGGAATGTCTTCTGAATAAATACGACCCCTGACGTCTCTTGGGAACTGTGTTTTTGTCATAGAAGCATATCCTGGATGCAAATAAGTGGGCTGATGGTTATCAGCTGGGTGAAAAGGTCAGAACTCTGCGTTTGTCGGTCCATGAGATAATGTTGTTCCATCTCCCTTTAAGACATCTGCCTCGGATTCTTAAAACGGTTCTAATTCACATGAGGGCTAAAGCTTTAACTTGAACATTCTCCACCAGGAGATTTGGTTCAAATTTACGCAAATCTCTTTTACCCTTTTAAAACCTTTAAAGGAAGTGAACACAGACAACATGAAATCAGCGTTAATATTAAACAGAGCATCTGGAATTTTAGTTTCTGTTTGATATACAATCGGTAGCTTTATTTGCAATAATCTGTCTTCAGATTTGGACGTTTTTGTTGTAAGTCAACGTTGTCGTCTTAAATACAAGCTTTACTTGCATTTTCTACACTTTTTTAACTTCTATTGCCTCAGAAAATACCTACGGCTAAAGTGGCCTTATATGGCCTTAAACATCTCTGCCCTCTGAAGCCTCTTAAGCAAAGTCATAGTACATCACACCTGACCTTTTTATGGTAAAGGTTGTGTGTCACAGGAGACAGGAAGGCAGTGGGAGACAGGAAAAGATGCGTAATCTACCCCCTGCAAAGATTCATCTCTCTACAAACAAGTCTGACACATATTAGACTGAATAAAAACATGGTTTGGACTCAAAACACCTGCTCATTATTCAGTGAGTAGGCAAATTATAAATCTGCAATGATATCATCTGTTCATTCAAACAAACAAGGTGGCACACAAGAATAGGTTACCTAACATCACATTGTACATAAAACCTAAAGTCATCAAGCAAAACGGATGCTAAGTGCTTACTAACTGACAGAAAGTAGTATACATAATAGAGATGATTGTGTTCTCAAAAAGAACCACAACAGAGTGTTTTGAAAAATACTCATTAAACATACAGGCTAATAAGCCAAATAGGGGTGCACAAAAAAAAAAAAAAAAAAAAAAAAACCAACGATTCACATCAGAATCGTGATTCTCATTTTCAAAGATTCAGATTTAAAATGTCCCAAAATCGATTTTTTAAAATAAATAAATAAATAAATAAATAAATAAATAAATAAATCCAATGACTATCAGCCTCTATTTTGTAACTACCTGGGACATCCCGACATCGCCTCGCAGCTGGTTCTGTAACGTATGCATCCGCAGTAAGCACCAAATCAAAGAGGAAACTACAAAACTGAGGGAACAAGAGATTCAACTGACCCTATCTTCATTGAATGCAAAGGTTTGGGCTCATTTTGGTTTTCACTGAATGAGTCTGAGTTCGACATGAGCTTCACTGTGTGCAAGGGTTGCAAAATGACGATGAAGCACTTTGAGAACACGAGAAATGGGCTCACATTATCAGGTCTGAATGAAAAATCGATTCTGAATCMAATCGTGGCCCTAAAAATCAAAATCGAATTGAATCATGAGATTGTAACAGATTCCCACCCCTAAAGCCAATGATGTCTACCCTCATTCTATAGTAAGTTCAGATTGAACTAACATCACTAGGGTTGAGCGATATTGGCAAAAAAACTAATCACGATTCTATATGGTATTTAGACTATTARGATTAATATGATGATTAATCCCATGGAGTCCCTGCGCGCATGCATGCCCTAGTCACATGACCAATTTAAATCACTCTAGTGGGAAAGATTTGCACTGTGTAAAAATCTGTTCCAAACTGTGTCAAAAGTACAGACTTCAGGCTAAACATCCAAGTAAAACCGGAGTTATGATAAATAAATTACAGAACTTAAAAAAAAATGTTTTTCATATTTGAAGTGTAGAGGAGCACTGGGCAGACTGACGGGGAAATCTCCAGTCAGTCAGTCTGGCGCATTAATCATCAAGTGCCAAGAAATTAAATAATCGATAATAGCTTTTCTGAGGATTAATTGCACACAATATGATTTTGCCCAACCCCAAACACCACACAAATAAATATCCCAAACAAAAGTTCTCAGAAATTATTATCTTCATAAAAGCTTTTTCATTTTCAAGAAAATATAAAAACCCCAACAGTGTAACAGCACTTTGCAGCAACTTGTGTGATTACTCTTTGCTTCAAGCAGAGAAGTACAAGTATCTGGGMGTCTTGCTCAAGAGTAATAATGGTAGGATAGAGCGAGAAAGGGAACAATAAACCACTRTGATCTGTCAAGGTAAACAAGGAGTTGGGTCAAAAGGCAAAGCTCTCAGTTTACTGGTTTGTTTACGCTCCAACTCACATATGGTCATGAGGTGTGGATCGTGACTGGACGGACCAAATCACGAACACAGACAGCTGAAATGAGCTTCCTCAATAGGTTGGCTCAGTTCAGCCTTGAAGGTTTAGAAGCTTTGAGAAAAGCTACTGCTCCTCTTCATCAGGAGTCAAGGGAGGTGTTTTTGGCATTTTATTAAGACGTCTTCTGGACACCACCCTTTGGAGGTTTTCTGGGCATGTTTAACTGGAAGATGACCAGAGGGCAGACCTAAAACTTGTTGGAAGGTATTATGRATGCTGTCTGGCCTGGGAACAATTCAGCCCACTAAGTCACACAGATCTGTTTATCACACAAGAGAAGAACACCATTATAAAGCACCCACCTACTATTATGACATGCCAAATACATAATAGCTCTTTCTCTTATCGTGATGACGATGATGATCACCTGTCCAAGGTGATCAACAGCCAGCAGCATAACGCTTCAGGGAAACTCATTAAACAGAGTGAGTCATCTCCGAGAGTCGAGCTGTGCTATCAGGTAGCATAGTCAGGGGACAGAAAGGAAAAAAGGTCCAGCTCAGTGACCTACACAAAAAAACCAAACACAGCAACAGGAACAGCTGAGGACGTCTGTTCTGCCAAGTAGAAAGCTGCTGATCGTAATGCACAAAAGTATGCCGCTTCCAAACACTGTGGCTAGCCAAGAGAAAATTTGGTGCCAGCATCAGCCAGAGGGAAAAGCTCATCAATTTCACAWGCGTGCTTCCTGTCTCACAGCGTGAGTTTGGTTCAGTCACAGAGATTTGGTCAAAAAAACATAATCTCTTGGTTTCTTTGAAATATTTAAAGGAGAACAGACATTTTGTCAACCCCGCTAATCTAAAATAAGTGTAACATAGCTTTTTAAAGCCTAGTAGGAAGAGACCTAACAGTTGTTGTGCTTTTTTGCCAAGTTGATTTTTAAGTGTTTGGTCGAGTAAACCAAAAAATCTTCATACATTTTTGAAAATACTAAACTGTAAAATAATATGTTGGTTAAAAAAACTTGATTACAATATTTTATTGCTGTACAAGTAAAATTTAACATTTCCTCTCAAATTTAAAACATTTTTAACATTAACTTATTTAGCAACACAATTACATTATAATCACTTTTTTTATAATTATCRCAACATATAAAAAGAAAAATAGAAACTGAAACAAAGTACTTTTTTACTCGCTTGTACTAAAAGTATTGCTTCTCCCTGTTTTTGCAAGCAAAATCCGACTCCTGCTAATTCTGACTTCTTCTGCTCGCTCCATAAGATTTTTTTTCTTATTTGAAACAGAAGGTAAAATATCAGAGTGGGTGTTTTTTTTTTTTCTGTTCAGAATTGGAGAAGTCTGAGTCCCTGACTGACAGTCAAAGCGTCCACCGTGCAGCTTGGATMGAGTTTAAGAGGCAGTGAGGGGGAGACTGAGTTTCATTGAAGCATCCATGAAATATGCATGACACGGTGTGAGGCTTATACTCCACACTTACCTCAATAAAAGTGGGATATCAAAATGGAACTGATATTAAAAGTTTTATTCCCAAGCGGGCCAATAAAACCTGGCTTTGCCCAACAAAACAATTATATTGTTAAACATAAACAGCGATTTCAGTACGGTTTATGTACACAATGTGTTTCCATTCAGACTCCAGCAGTGATTAAGTGATTAAAGGGTATACATGTAACACGATGCAACTAGAATCAGAATACTGCACATAGCCCTATTTAATTATTGCTTTCTTTGAACATAACTTTATTCATGTTACAGCAACTAGGATATGTTACTACCATTTCTCATTCAAAGCAAAGTCTTAATTGGGGTAATCATTTTACTGCTGCTCATGTAAACAGACCCTAATGCTTCTCAAAGAAATGACCTCCAACAAAAGAGAGGACCGATGACCAGGATCGACAATGGGTTTAGTCCAGCAAAACTCTCCAAGATATCCTCTGGATGCAGTTGAACGATCTAGGTGGGCAATGTGATATGTTTTACACAATTAAAGAAGACAGAAGCAGAAGCATTTTAAGGCTTCTTTTTGATTTTTTACCTGGATTACTGAGATGCGTCAGGACATTTTCTTTTTCATTTTAAGGCTGTTGTCAGGCTTATGGTGCGTTCACACCAAACGCGATTTCAGCATCAGGAGCATCAGGTTTACATGCAAAGTCTATGGTGGACGCGCTTCAAGCAGCGTCGGGAAGTGCTGCGGCGCCTCAAGCGTGATTAGAGCAGCGCGATTTGAACGATTATTTTGAACGATCTGAGCGTTCGACGCGCTGAGGCGCAAATCGCTGAAGTTAGAAAATCTGAACTTTTGCAGCTCGACGTGCCGCATCAACCAATCAGAGAGACTCCACTGTGTGACGTAGCGACATATTTCCCGACGGGACAGTTTACTGAATGATGTCCACTAACCTGAAACAGATGGAGAGGAGCTCTTTAGCTGAAATCGAGTGCCTGCAGTTGGTGTCCTGACAGGAGATATCC